AGCTTGAGCGTGCAGGCGCGATGCAAGCGGGCCCAGGTAGACAGCAATGAAATTCGCGGCGGTCTGTACTACCTGTTGTCGCTTGCCAGGACAGTGAACATTGACAGGTCATTAGAACCGCATACATACGACCTATACCTACGCAAGGGCGACCTGCGTGGGAAAATCGCCAGGACACACCAACGCTTCGGCAGCCACAGGGCAAGGGCAACGCATAGGCTTGGGGCCTCACCGGGTGAGATGGCCGCGGAGGAGGCGGCGTTACTTTTTGCGTGACCTGGAGTAAACCTCGGTGAGCTTGAGAGAAGCGTCGAAGGGTTTATCGACACAAATTTGGTCATTTTCTGCCGAATCCAGTGAGCGCTCATCAATTTCAAGCTCAGCGCACAAACGTTTACGTCCAGAGATAAGAATGTTCTGTCTCGCCACTCGGAGGGCCAAGTAGCCATTGTTTACTATGGCCTGCAATGTGGCTAAACTACAATACATGTGTTTATTTGATAGGCCCTGCCATGTTATGGGGCTGGGGCTGTTCTCCCGTTACAGTCCACTGGCATGCCCAGGTCCGCATGTACAACTTTATCGGCCGTCTCAAGGTTTTCGGCGCATACTCTGCGAAATCGCGGAAAATGAATCAAAGTATGTTTATAGAGCCTTCTAGCTTGGCTGTAAATTACTTTTAGCTCAGTCTAATAGACGTTTACGACCGGATGAGAGCGCCGAAACTCGGTTTTTCCGACAATTCGTCAAAAAAATCGAGGACAAAGTATTGGCGGTGTTGGTGAAAAACCTGTGTGACGTGTGACATTCGGTATAGTGGTAAACGTGCAGTACATGCTTCCAGAAATATATCAACGATAGGCCGAGACGCTGCGCGAGGTCAAAAAGCAGCATGTCCCGACTAGTACTTGGCCCTATACTGTATGTGTACTCTGAAGCCGTACGACCGGACTTGGAGCAAACATGTTGCTTGTAGAGAAATATACTATCTGCAAGAAAAATAAGCTCCCATTAGCCGACTTGAATGATTGATCACTTCATTGCTGGTGATGCGCGCTCTACTAACTGAGCTAAACGAGGTCGTTCACACGCGACGCTAAGCGGGCCCGAGCTCGTGACCCCGGACACCACTTCTGAAGTCAATAAGCTAGGCGATTTGCGACCGTAATCGCCATCTGTGAACATTCTACAGGGCAGAGCAGAACATGGCTAAATAATATACATGAGTGGCTTTGTCTACTGAAATGGTCATCCCGGGCAATCTCGCTCTGCAAATCTTCACGGATTATTCGATCCGATGACGGCGCTTGCCGCAGAATCGGTACTCCGGGAGTTTTATGTTGCATTTTACCAGATTTTCAACGACGACGACGATGAGTCTCTGGCCGTCCAACACACACTGTCCACCGACGCCTAGCCATCCTTTCACTCTTTTAACATCCTCTGCGAGGGGCCGGCTCAAATTTTCCGGCGATCCATCTCGCTTTCCACGCTCATGATGGACGCCAATAACGCTAGCGCCCATAATAAGGACTTCTTCGACGACTTCGTCGTCAACCCTCATCGCCCTGCTGCCCACAGCGCGCAGGTCGAAACACCCGAACTGCTGGAGACCAACGACAGAACGAGCCCGTTTCATCCTAGCATGCAGCCGCAGTCGTTGCAGAACGGTGTCGGCATGGACGTCCTCGAGGGCCTGATAGCGATGCAGGACGGCCACACGGGCCAGTCGAGCAGCATGTCGAGCCCAACGCAGCAGCAGCCGACACCGCAGATGCTCATGGAACACCAGATGCGCCTGAACCAGCTCCAGCAGCTGTACCAACTACAAACCCAGATCTTCCAACAGCAGGTGAGCGGTTCTCAGCCCCCCATCCGGCTACAGCGATCAGCGTGGCAGCCGAGCCACGAGTCCCACACGCGCCGCCGCTGCGGCTGCTGTCTGCGTAGAACTGTACTTATGCGTGCTTCTAGATCGAGCTCTTGAGTGGGCAGACACCCTTCATGCCGCTGGTGATGGACAGGACGAGAGAGCAGCAGCAGTACCTTCCTACTCCAGGTGCGTGGCTCAGATATTGGCAGGGTCTAACCGAGTTCTCATGACGTTTGCTTCAGCCGCTTCAACAGAGATCCCCCCGCAACCAAGCCCTGGTTTCGTGCCTCCTATGCTGCTGCAAAACTCGGAGCCGAACGTGAACTCTTCGCAGAACGCACACCAAAACAGCGACCAGCAGTACATGCAACACCACATGATTCCTTCTGCGCCGCACTCTGCTCCCGCCAACCTCGTCTTCCAAAACATCCACAGCAGCCCGTATCCCATACCACCGGCTGACATGGACTTTGACGAGATGTCGCCCTTGACCAGTCCGTGGCTGGGCGCATACAACACCGGACAAGCGTCAGATATGCCAGAGTCGTCCCGAGGAATGCAACAGCAACAGCAACACCCTTCTTCGTCTGGCACAACCGCACAGAAGCGGCGCACGGCGTCTCCCACCAGCGACGATCGCGGCGCGCCAGGCCGCCCTTCTCGGAAGCGCCAGACACCCGCCAGCCGCCTTACGATCCCGCCGAACACAGTCGCGCCGTCGATCCCGTCCATGAACCGCACGCGCAGGGGCAGCCTCCGCGGCGGGACCAAATCGGCGAGTTCGACGCCGCTCTTCCCGCCGCTCGGCCCTGCCGCCGCCGCCGGGGCCATGACGCCGCCGTCGAACCGTTTGATTCGCAGCGGCCCGAGCCGCGGGGCGGCGACGACGCCGATCGAGGCCCCCGGGGACACGCCCTCGCCCGTCGACCTGTCGATGCCCCCGCCCGCGACGCCGCTGCCGCAAGCGCCGCTGCACTTTGTGCCGCAGGGCAACGTCGGCTCCGCGGAGCACACGCCTGCGCCGACGCCGACGCCCGTGCCGCCGCCACACGCGCAGGGGCAGGGGCAGATGCAGATACACGGCCTGATCACGCCCGTCACGCCCGCGAGCATCATGAATCTCGGCAGGCTGGGCACGGACAGCTCGCTCACGCCGCCGATCGCCGTGGACGCGAACGCACCACAAGCGGCGAACAAGACGAAGACGAGGGGTTCAGCGCGGCCCCGGTCTGCGACCGCTGGAAACACCTCCAAAGCGGCGCTGGTCAGCCCCGCGCTGAAGCCCATACGTCCAGGTGTGTTTCTGCCAACTTTTTGTATCTTGAACAGGTCACTCACCTTCCACAGCAGGCGGCGGTAGCGGTCGCGGAGACGGCGGTTCGTCAAGCGCGGCGTCCACGTCGTCGCCTCCGGGCGGCGGCGACGGCGGCGACGGGGGGCAGCCGCCGTTGCAGGTGCGCAAGACGTCGCACAAGGCGGCGGAGCAGAAGCGGCGGGACTCGCTCAAGACGTCGTTCGACGACCTGCGGCTGCTGCTGCCGCCGATCCCGCTGCCGTCGGACGAGGGGTACGCGGACGAGCCGGTGCTGCCGGGCGCGATGCCGCCGCGCGGCCCGCCGAAAGGCAGCGCGGACGGCCCGAACCGCGGCGTCAGCAAGCTGCAGCTCCTTCGCTGCGGCAACGATTACATCCGCCGCCTCGCCGGCCGCGTCGAGCGCCGCGACGACGAGATCGCGTGCCTCCGCGGCGAGGTACGGCGGCTCAGGCTTGTCACGGGCGGTGAGGCGGTGTCGGAGGAGGGCTTGGAGCCTGTCGACCTGGAGCGAGACCTGGACGCAATCGAGGCGACGCTCGTGCCGCTGGGGCGTTCGGCAGCGTTCGCGGAGGACGACGAGGACGGCGGCGACTGATGCGTGCCCGTTTTAGGACACGCTGTCTCTTTCCTGGCTTTGCGCTATGCGTCTCTGGGCCCGTTTGCGGGCTGTGGCAGTCGCCATTTTCGTTGGGACTGGCATTTAGACTTGTTTTGTCTAGCTGAAAAGTAATGGAACTACGGTCGTGAACATTCTCGCTGGTTTTGCGTCCGTGGCTTTTTGCAACCCTGCAGCCCTTCCCTTTTCAGGGACAAGCGAGACGGAAACTTGGCCTGCCCCTCCCGATGGGATCTGACCGTGTGATGCCCTGATCGCCCTCACGTGACGCGCCCCGGTGTTATCTTCCACCGAGGCCCGGCGAGGGTTGCTTTTTCTCCTCGTCGTCCCCCACGCCAGCACACGACCATGGCGAGCGAGCAGGTCGCTGTGCGACACCCCTTGTGCGTCGGTTTGTCTCTGCGCCGAACTGAGTGGTCTGATGCGCCTCATTCCTTGCAGCTCCGTTATCTTCCTGCTGCACATCGCGCTCGAGGTTCCGGTCGCGATACAGGGTCTGTTCTCGCCTATGTCGCTGCCGTTCCTGCAGATGAACAACACTGCGGCAGTGTTCATCAAGGTGTGCTATCTACTTGCATACTATAGTTGCTGTATCTGAATACACTATAGCTGTATGCTGCGCTGTCCGCCGGTATCTGTGCCGCTTGCTTGCTTTGCTTCGGTCTTCCTGGTGAGTTATCATGTGTGTATATCATGCATGCAACATTGAAACGTGCAATTCACTGCAGAATTTTTGCCTGGCAAACGAGCACTGGCCATAGGACTTACCATCTACCACGTCACTTGCTCCACTATCCTCTACAACGCACCGCGCTTCATCCCCTTCTCTCTCGGTGCCATCGCAGAGGCGTACGTCCATGCACCTGTCCGCTTTGGCTATAATGGTGCTCACCATTTCTTTAGGTACAAGATCACCCCAGAGAACGTTTGGGGTACCGTCCATGGTTTCATTGGACTGGGCTTCGTCATCTGGTGGCAAGCTACGGTCCAACTCGCCGCTGCCATGCGCAACAGCACCAAGACGTAGTAATCCATCTCTTTCTGTGTGATTCACTGTGTATTCTCGTTGCTAGTCTCGACCGCCGAATCCTGGATTTTTATGCACCATGTGATGTACTCTTGCTTGTTGTATTCGCTCTGCCGTGTATGTTCTGTACGGTACAGGCTACGTGGTGACAGGAAAACATCTTTTTACATCTGCCAAGTGTCCCCCAAACCCCGAGAAATTGACTGCTACAATAAGTGAAAACGGCGACAGTATCCGTGTATTCATGAGATCGACACGTCGGTTTGTTAAAGCTCTTGATGTTCAGTCGACCCTACGCATCCTGGGTATAAACGCCCAGATGACGATCATGGTCGACATCATCGACACAATGCTTCACATGACACGTCAGACAACACCACGACCAGCACACCGAGAGAAGAGAACACTCACAACGGCTGCAACGATGCGATGCCGAACTTGGACGCGAGGAGGCCGGTGACGAGAGGGAGGATGGCGGAGCCTGTCTGGCCGACGCCCGCGATCCAGCCGACGCAGCCGGTGAAGAGCCACGTCGGTAGGACGTGCTTCGAGTGGTTCACGAGGATCGGGTACATGGGGCCCAACAACAGCCCGATGACGCTCACCGCGATCGCGTTCTCGACGAGCGAGGGCACGACCCAGACCGTCACCTCCAGTCTGTGCGCGGGAATGTGTTAGTGCGGGGGAGGGGGAAGCGGGGGGAAGTGAGAGGCGCACTGGATGGCGAGGAAGGCGTAAATGAACATGACGCGGCGTTCGCCAATCTGGAGACGGGGGATTGTTCAGAGAACGCGACTCAAGGTGTGTATGCCCTCACTGACCTTGCGGTTCAACCAAAGGAGGAGCACCCGTCCAAGCATCAAACCTTCGCGTCTGGCATCAGTGCTCCACTGGCAGACCCGGTGCTCGTGCATAGCACTCACCGCCAAAAAACCCAGACGAGATGTAGCCGGCGGTGACGCCGCCGTGGCGCTTCTGCTCGATGAAGGTGACGCTCCAGCTGCCAAGCGTGACCTCGACGCCGACGTAGATGAGCGCCCATATCGCGAGGAAGTGCACCGTGCCCATGCGCATGATCTGCCGGAGCTTGCTGCTGCCTGTGTTATCCGGGTCGGTGGGTGCCTCGCCGATGTCTGCCATGACGTCTGCCACGAACGGTGGTGAGCCACGCTCGCGCGGCGGTAGAGGAAAAGGCGCTCACCGTCCTGCCGCCTGAAGCGGAAGGCGACGATGAGGAAGGTGATGTTGAGCAGCGTGATGCTCACGGAGATGAGGTAGTGCAGCGACCACCGTTGCTGCGCCGCAAAGTGCGTCGCGGCCAGCGGCGCAGAGAACGCCCCGAGGCCTGCCACACGGGCGGTTTTGTGATTGTTAGTCTTTCGTTTGATGCAACGGTGTCCCTGCAGCTGGGCACGCACCGTACGACGCATGCAGGAGGCCGAGCTTCGTGGCCGAGTCCCGGAGACTGCCTACAAAGCCGTTGCCCTGGCAGGTCTGCAGCGCGAGGCCGAATCCCGCAAAACAGAACGCCGTGCACATGAGGGGGAACGGGCCTGCGATGACGTCCAGGCTGTAGGCCAGCAGCTGGAACAGTGCACCTAAGACGCCCATGAGCACTGGAGGGCACGGGCAGTAGTGCGCATATGCCGCGGAAGCACCTACCGATAACGATGGTCTTGCCGAAGCCATATCGGTCCGAGAGATAGATGTTTGCAAGTGCGCCTGCGACAAAGCCCTACAGTGTATGCGCACACGCGGGGGTGAGCAAGACGGTTACCACGGACAGCGACACCACATGAGAAAAACATGAGCTCACCACCACATTGAACACGAACAGCAGCGAGACGACCGCGAAACCGATCTGCCGGCGGCACGGAATCACTATGCGTTACCCTCGCAGCGACCGCCCGAACTACTCACGTCGTAGTAGCGCTGTATCGTGGGCAGCAGCGGCCCCGTCGAGCCGTCGTTCCAGCCCACGCCAAAGAAGTTCCAGCACAGCGCCGCGAAGCACACCATCGCCTTCCGCCGCTGCCTCCTGCGCTCCGCGGGCGCAACGAACGGCACCGCGCTACTCGCGCCGTCTGTGCCGTGCGCGCCGGCCGACCCGACCGCGTCGTCCGCACCGGCGGGCGCGCACTCGACGTCGCCTCCGCGCTTCGACGCGAGGCTCGCGAGCTCGATCGCCTCGCCGGCGCTGGCGGCGTCCGGCGCGAGCCCCGCGGGCCGGACACGGTTGATGTCCGAGCCGCGCCGCCGCATGTTGCTGTCGCCGTGCAGCAGGACCGCGGCGGGTGCGAGCAGCGCCGCGGCGGGGCGCAGGTCGAGCGCGGAGCCGGTCGCGTGAGAAGCTGCGGAGACGTCTGGTAGTGGTGTTGTCTGTTCTGTCAGCGTGCCGTCCACGGCGGCCTTGGACATCCTGGGCAGCGTGCGGTCGATCGAGGTCACAGTGCGAGAACGTTAACGAACCTGGGAGAAGAGTGGAGACGGTTGAAGGGAAGAGGATGCCAGATGCACGAAGGCTATAGGAGAAGACGGGGGCAATAAGTTCTCGAGCTCTTCTGAGTCAGATAGACGTAAGGGGCGTGCGGCGACCTGGAAAGAGCCAATGGCCAATCGCGCAGGAACCCGAGCTCCGTGCCTAGAGCGTGCGGAAAGGTGAAACTCAAACGGACTGGAATTCGCAAGGAAGGCGCAGTGGAACTTACAAGATGCTGCCGTCAGGTGGTGTCTGCGGACAGCGTCCATCGCTTCTGGCGACACAACGAGGCCTATTTCTCAATGGGAGGCTGATAAATGCTGGGAACGCTCGCTCGTTCGCGCGGCCGAAGATGCGATGCGGTGCCTCGCTGGACGTAAATCCACAGGCTGCGTCTCATCCATCGTCTTCTGTCGCCTTTCGGAACTTCGTCGGCAACCCGGGCTAGCACATGGCACAAGCGCACAAATATTCAGGTCGACAGTTAATGCAGACCCGTGATGATGTGTTGGTCCTGGATATAGCTGGAAGTCTAGGCACTAGGTACGACTGGTGATATAAGCGTGATGGATACGCGAGATAGGAGGCGCGTGGCGTATTACTAGTGCATATATGTATGCTGTAAAGATAACGATGCTTGGTAAAAGTCGACGAAAAATAGATGCGCGGAAACGCTTGCGGGATAGCATATAAGTATGTGGGATACTTGAACGCGGTGATCAAAGTTGAGCGGTTTACATGAGGGGGATGCCAAGGATGGCGCCCAAATCTCCACGGCATCCAAGCGAGCTTGATTTGTTCTGCGCCGACCTTCCGCGCTAGTCCAGGCAGACAGCGATTTACCCTGCAGAACTGCGGTGCCCACTCTGTGTAGGAGCCCACCTGAGGACACGTCAGCCCTCCTCCGTCAAGCGCAGCGGGGCTTGACGGGCTCTTCTTCTTCTGAGCCGAAGTTGAGGTTCACCGGCGGCAACCCAGCTCTGGAGTCGGTTAAGCGCAGGATCGCGCTGCGAGAGTGGCCTAGGCGAAATGAGCACTCGTCTACGTGTGAAAGAAAAGGTATGGCTTACGTCCTGCGAAGAGCCTGGGTGGAGGCTTGTTTTGCCTGACGGAGGGACTCCTGTACTGCAGTCCGGACCATCCCTTGCTGGATGATGCCACCAAGCTAGAGCCTCCTTAAAAATATGCGAGCTCAGCAACCCTGTTATTGTGAAAGAAGGTAGTATGATTCACCCGACACCGAGCCCTCGATATTCACAGAAGCACTAGTCCCATGGTATTCCCCTGCTTCAACGACAGGATCTTTGAGTGACTTGAACGAATCGACGAACTCTCTAAACGCGTCATCAAGGTCGGACATGATGCCCAAAGAGTCCTCGCTCAGGGAAGGCAGTCCTCGGTTTAACAAGGGAGTCGAGAAGGCTAACCAAGGGCTAGACATGACACCTTCTATTCTGAGAGGTCACAGACGATGAGAAGACCTACATCCGATATCAGGATCTTCCAGCGTGACAGTGGAGAATCTCGTAGACACATCTGTTACAAAAAGGCGTAGTTAGCTCACATTCTATAACGAACGAGATGTCACTCACCACGAGCCATGAGGTCGAAAGCGTTTGATAGGGGAGTGGATGGGCTAGAGGTATCAGGAGAAGAGGCGAAGGACTCGAGGAGACCTGTCTCAATGCCTTCGCGATCATAGAAGAGAAAGTCTAATGATTTCTCTTCCGGACTCTCAGTGCGGCTGCGGTCTGCGAAGCTAATCAGCGAACGAAGTTCATGGCCCGTTTGGATGAATATACCGTGGCCAGACAAGGCGGCGCCATTGTCTGTTTCGGTATCACCTTCGAGACTGTCAGAGTGTGGCCTGTCGCAAGAACACCGTACATACCGTCAGTCATAGCGGTTAGAGAGTTCTCAAGGTGTTTTTCCCCTATCCGGTAAAGATGTCTCGATGGAATGGGGGAGATATTGTCGACATCCGAGTCAAAGGTTGAATCGTATGCAGGGGCTTCTTGATAGCTGCACAGCGAGTCTTCCGCAAATCGCACCCTCCGTACCGACCCCGGTGTGACACCGTAGTCGAAGGCAGTACATGGATCTCGGGTGGTGCTGCGTTTCGTCCATTGAATTGGCATGGTCGACGAGTACATGATGACGGGAGGAGGGTGAGGTAAAACGCGAGCAAGTGCAGATTTTAAAGAGGACAACAGGCCACCTAGTGGGACGGCAATTTCCGAACCAACAGTCCCATAAACGGTCACGACATTGAACGATCATTGTGAGCCATGCGCCCTGGCCCAAGCAGCTGCGCAAAAGGAAAACGTCGGCCATGGCCTTGCATCGGGAACCAGCGACCGGTTCCGCGCCTTGGCCACGCGCCTGGCGAAAAGCTCTGTTGCCCTGTCTCTGGCACCGAAGGCCTTAGATTGTAGACCGAAGCTTTGTAAACATACCTGGACAGGAGTGAGACGGCTATTTTGTGCGCGAATGTGGTATATTATCCCCGAGAAATAGCAAATGGTACATTCTGATTCACTGATGCTCGCTGAAATACCTATCAGTAACCATGCCAGAATATTTAAAAAGCAAGAGTCTTACAAGCTTGTATGTTTGGATTTCATGGGTTCCATGTGTAATTTTCCGCGACGACCCAGTTCACACGCTCATTGTTAACGCGTGAGAGATACGTAGACGTGTCATGGATCAGCTCCCCGGTGAGAGGCATCAGCATCCCGGAATCGGGACCATGAGACGCGACCACCCTCCAAGACTCGGCGAAGTGACTGCGACGCGCGCAGACACCGTATTCCGTCCGCACAACTTCCTGCGCCCAGTCGCCTACCTGGATACAAACACCGCGCACGGTATCTCCATCCATCAGCTTGAGAGCGACAACGTTCGTGCCAGGTACGATATCTTCTTCTCTCCAGACCTCCTGATACTTCTCTACACGTCCCGATGCAGGGTTCGGCATCTCCCCCGTCTCCAGCAAGTCCCCGTTAGCAAGCACCTTCCAGAGTCCAACATCCGGGGCAGCGTCGCCGCCCTTGTCGACGCGGTTGTCGACCAGATGGCTAAACGCGCACCTGCCGTCGGAAATGTATTCTTTCTGGCCGGCGAAGGCCCAGTCGCAGTTCGCTGGGTTGTCCAGGAACGGCCGAAAATCCGTGTAGAGATTAGTGGCGCCGCCGGCATTGAGCACCAGCGTTGAGGTCGACTCGGACGGCTCGTTGTGCAGGAACCGGATCGAGATCCTCCGCGAGACAGACGGAGAGCGCAGTCTGCCGTCGTTGGCTGCCATCTTCGTATCGATAGACTTGGCCAAAGTCGGAATCAGGCATGGGTGATTGACGATGTGGCGACAGCGCATCAATTTGATGCGCCATCACGCGCCATCTTAGACCTCGAAACCCTGGCGCTAACACGTCTTGTCAGAAGCCGCGGAGGCACCGTTGACGACAAGGCTCTGCTCGTGAAATCGAACAGAGGATGTAGGCTCTGCAAGCATACAATCAGATCATATGACGTGCTCTGTTTGACTTCTGTCTCGTCAGGTTTTCGCCTCTTCAGCATGGCGGCGGAGCAACGGACAGCCCCAGTCGATATTTTGACTTTCCACCGTCCCCACACGATATTGGGGCTCAAACGGTCTCATGTCGGTTCCATAGCCGGAATCCTGGCTGCATGTAAGTGTTACCCACTCCTTATGACGGCGCAGCTACACTCAATCCGAGCCATAGTTACTTGGCCTCACGAAACCGAATCGGCCTAATAGCATACAACGTATCAGTCTGAATTAGGACTCATACAAGCCTTACGCACCGATGCGTGTGGTGATGGAATGCAAAATATCTGACAAGGGTCCTCTCGCAGCTAAGAGAGCCAGCATAGATGGTGCCTGGCCCGGAAACTTCCCGCTGACTGGAGCTGTCTTTGTTCCGACTTGAGCCGTGTTTGTCCGCCTGCTTCACGCTATCAACTGAGGCATCGTAACTTCGCAACCTCACCCTTGCTTCAGATGCTACCGGCTGTGATCTTGGCTTGCATGACCTATGGCATATTTCGACGCATCTAACACTCAGTCAATGCACTCCTGTTACCATACCAATCGCTGAAGAAGGCATTTCCAGACCATTCGACACCACGCCGCGTTTCCAACGCAAACAGCCTGGCTTTTGAACCATGCGTTGACGCTACCCTCCGTCCCCCGCCCGATAGGCAAGTCCCTTTCGCTGAGTCTGCCACGCGAGTCTGCTATACTCCAAGCCAACGGCGCTGTAGCCGCAGCCGGGTCTTTAGGTATGCTTCTAACTCGATGCGGAAACGCGCGAGAGCTAGGTGCTAACCAATGGAGTACAGGGCAACGGTCGGCTTTGTCAAATTTACGATCTCGTGATTGACCGCGGTCTGTCGGTGACTCCGACAGGCTGTGGTCAATCACGCAGCCAATAAAGCCTGCGGCAGCGACAACTCTATCTCCCGACGTTCTGGGGAATGGTATTCGCTCCGAGTCATTTCGGAATCATCGCACCTGGTGGCGAATATGCAAGGAGTTCCATGATAATTTCAACATCTGCGCTGCAAGAGCTCATGGATTACCACAGAAGTAGCGTGCAACTCTACTGATGGCCGTAGTGATTTGAGTCTAAGGGGGCGGGGATGTACGCCCGACGGTAAGCCGACTCGGATTCCTCATATCGTGCGACGATTATACAGCTAAACTATTTTTAGGCAAAATAATTCAGAGACGATAGGACTAGAAGGGAAGGGTACCGGCCTGCGGGCGACCTCACTTTAATTTCCTTTATCCATACCATGTATATCAGTTTCCGCGCCAAATTATCAAGCGGTGAGTGACTATTCGCGCGAGTCTCGTACTGTAGCTCATATCAACCCACAGGCTGCAGGCGACCTTCAAATCTTCAGGCTCGCCATGTGCTGTATGCTCAAGCTAGGCGACGTGCCTAGCAGAAATGCGCAATGTTGCTGGTCACTCCTCGTATAGTCTGCTCTATGTTCCCGCCGTTGATCACCAAGGTCGTGCTATGGCAGCCTGGGGTGCCCCTAAGTGCGTCTACAGGGTTCAAAATATCCGAGCGTATGATTTTTTTTTTTTCAGATCCGACTGGGGCTCCCGAGACGAGCCATGACCGTCTCTCAACTGGTATCTCGGGTGTTGTATACAAAAAGATGGAGAAAGATGGAGAAATTTTCTCGATTATCGGCATGAAACAGTTGGCACGCCTTTACGCATGGCCCTGCGCCATTTCGGCTCAGTTCAGTCAGGAGAGTGGACAAGTACAGGCTGAATGACCCGATATTTTTTCATCAGACACTAGACTTCGACGACGCAGTCATAGAAGCTACGGGTAGGACAACCTTGATTTCGACTGATCTCGTACTAGTTGCTGACTCTTCGATGCGCAACGGAAAATCCAAGCCCTATAGCGCCCACACAATTCTGATCGCCCGGCCTGTGATCCCGTGTGGTTCGCAAGATGGATCACATCTTTCGGTCAACGAGCATGTCCATTACTTGCTAAGGTGGATTGAAGCTAAAAAAGATACCGAATAGGTCCTTTCCCTCAACTGAGGTTCGTGCTCGTTTTCGGAGACTCCGCTGATGCTCTCGTAAGCCAGCGCACTTGAAACTATACCGGTGTCATTATCATCATTCCGTGCAACGGCGCGTCTCGTCATCCTTCGGGTTATCCCATGGTGTCTCAACTGAGATATTGCGTTCTCTACTACGATTGGCTTCGAGGATTCACCGTTGAGCTTAATGGTGAGCCCCTCACGCCCAACATCTCTACGTGAACGTTTTCTATGCTACTGGTCTTAGCGCTTCAGTAGCATCATTGGCTTTTGGGCCCTTCAGATGCTCTTTACTCGTGTTAACGGCCGAGATCTGATTTTACCAGGGACTCTGAATGTGCGCTCCTGGCAGGATACTAGCGCGCTGCTCCTGCAATCTTCGTGATTGACTTCATAGTCATGAAGCAAAGTGGGACGCCAACACCACATGAGACTCCCGGCTATTGATGATAGATTTATATATACGTGGTTTCCAGTGGGCATCGGATATTCAACATCCAGCCTCTTCGCAGACTAGCCGCGGCGCACTCACGTTCAAGGCTCCCAGCGCGATGTCCTCCGGCTTGGCAACCGCAGTCTCACAGCTGTGTGTGGTTCTGTGCCTACTGGCAAGGTGTGCTTAGTATTATTTCCAACAGTATGGCATATGCAATCATAAGTGAAGTAAGGCGCTGTCATAAGATTCCCGGTGCTGACACCGGATGTTACAGCTTTAATAATCTACGATCACTTGATCACGCTCGACCAAGAAGTCCGTACTGTGTGGCAACAGAAGTTCTCAATTGTTTCCCTTCTCATTGTGTCTACTCGATCGACACCACTTGCAACGGTGGTATTCGCCTTCATCCCAGAAGGATTATTGGTAAGCCACTGTTTTTTCATATAGTAAAATCTGACATAGGCCTTTTTCAGAGGTATTGATATCGCATTATCCGACTGGGACAGTGCTGAAGACGAAATCGAATACAGCTGCACAGCCTTTGGCTGGATAGCCGTAGTCCCTCAGCTCGTGGCGTTCACGCAGACTGCCGGTGAGCACAATGCATCACTACCACCTGGTGTGCTACTTGACCATTGTCAGTCTTCTCTGCACTGCGTGTATGTGCAATATGTAATCAAAATTACACTCTGTTCGCGATTGTGCTGATCCTAAGTCTTCCGCCTGTGGTTACCAACGCTGTAAGTAGTGTAACACTCTTTCGAAGTCCTGTATTGTTGATGCCCCTCCGAGTACAACTTATCACATAGCTTCCTGGTATACTTTCCCCCGCCAGTTGATATATGCACCTCGACCCCTGACTACTCTGATGAGGTGAACCACATGTAAGTCTGTTGCGTTACCGCCATTATTTTGCACTGGCACATACTCAGCCTGACTTTGCTAGCTGTATGTTTCCGAGACTTACCTTATAAATTTAGCTGCCTCTCACTATTTTTACAGTACTCTTAGTCACCCGCGTTCCATTAATAGCCGCGGACTTGCTCGTCCAAGTCATGACGTGGATGAAAACCTATCGTCAGTACAGAGAAGCAAGATCATTGAACATGAGGTCTCCGTTTACCGTACGTCTCATCCATGACGGTAAAACCTTCTCTTTGTGTTAGCAACGTCGGTTATGACCCCTTATCGGTCATTTTAGGCACAATCTACTTCTTGCAAGTTTTAACCATCAATAACCTTCGTTGTCTTCTCACTTATAGCAATCGGTAGTATCCTTCTCGTCCTGAATGTCTCTCAGATCGTATCTTTCTACTTTGTAAGCAACCCACCTTTCATCAGGGCCACCTCGCATACTAACCACTCACAGGAGTCTGTAATCACTGTCACTGCATTTGCGAGTATATTGGTGAGTCTGCTGCCAAAGAAGTTCTGAATCATCCAACATCTCCATGCTCCCCAGCCGCCTATTTTGATTTGCCGCTTCATGACGGATCTGCGGCTAGTCAATCGAGACGAATCCTCCACTTCTGAAGCCGGAATGTCCCAGCAGCAGCCTTCATTGCGCATCCCGACGTTCAACGATGGCACAACACCAAGTTTCGCGGCGAACATGGGCGAGCCCCTGGACTACGGCCAGAATGATAGGTGGGATCGTAACGATATACATGTCAGCAATGAGCAGCCTATAGTGCAAGGAGAGCCCCACGCCTAATTAGATATTCGATTATTGTGTACCGAGGCTACCAGTGGTCTCATTTTCGTTCTGTCTCACAGATACCGCCTTGTTTCCCGCTGTCCCTTCCAGGCAGAGCGCAGCTTTTTAGTTAGATTAAGGTCTCGTGACAGTATATAAGAACCTCTACCTCTTGTAGATATTAGTCGACGTTTTCTTGTACCAACCCTAGCTCAGCTGTGTGCATATACGATATGCTGTTTGCTGAAGTTTACTGCATGTTCTTGCGCGAAGACAAGGTTTTCAAAGCTGAATCACTCCTACGAAACTGTAGATAAGTTTCTTCATCGGTCCAGATTTCTTATATCATTATGATGGGAGAAAAAAATCGAGGAGAATGCATGCAGATCCTGGTCTGTCCTTCCATTACGCCGTAGCAACTTCGGTCGCCTCCGGGCGACGCTTGCCCTTGGTATCCTCCGCATAATTCTCGTAGAAATTAGCCTCGTCCTTACCCCCGCCGCCGTCGCTCCTGCCTGGCCCGTCCCAGAAGTGGAATGCCTGGCTGTGTACGCCATACGACGTCGGGACGACCTCGAGGAGATCTCCACGGGCGACTTCGATAGCAGGGATCTCAGACGCAGGGAGGCCGATGAGGTAGGCGAGTATGCAGCGGATGACAGACGCATGGCCGATGATAAGCAGGTCCTCTCTCTCGCGCTCTAACTCAATGAGCGTTGGCTCCAGGCGCACTACAACTTGTCAGCGGAAAGGGCTGCCAGACGCCGCGATGCACTTACCGCAAAGGTCGTGATAGCTCTCCGCTCGGGGCGCGCGATACGCGTATGGATCCTTGACAAAACGCTCCCACTCATCGGGGAAGTACTGACGGACCTGCTCCGGCGTGAGTCCGTCCCACACGCCGGGGTTAATCTCTGACATCTGCGGCTTCTCGATGACTTTGACGCGTGGCGCAGGCATCGCATCGCTAGCGGAATGCTGAAGGAAAGGCCAGGCGCTATGGTGAGACCGCCGCCGCGCGGAGGTCCAGATCTAAGAGTGAGGTGAGCTGCCGCAAGAAACGGACATTGACCACCACACGTACGACCAACCGCCGGTCAGCGCCATCGAGACCGCGCTGCTCGAGCGACTTTGCTCGACGTTCGAGGACAAATTCTTTCAGCCGTTCGGCGTATTCCCACCCCGCCGGAGAAAGGTCTGAATCTGCCTTGTATGAGTGCTCAATGAGAGATTGCCCTGACTATATGCGTGTTAAGACGACGAAGAGATGGCAGCTTCCTAGACCTACGCGAGCAAAATATATAGTACGGAATCTATTGTGGATATTCATGAGGAAGAAGACGATCCTTGACTGAAGGAGGATGAGAGTGCGCTATGGGGCAGTAAAACTTTGCAAACCTGGAGGTAGCCGCGAATATCCTAACGAATTATGATGAGCTCTGGTCCAGTGGGAGCAGTGGGATAATGCTCACGTTCACCATGATCTTCTCTCCAACCTTGCAACAGGAACGCATCAGACGTGTCTATTGCAAGGTATGCATAGGAGCTCACATTTACAATACGGATGTTCGGCACAGTTGTCTCTTCGACGGTCTCATAATGCTTCTCATGGTCGCGTATGCGCTGCAAATAATCTTCAATGGCCTTCTCAGGGTCCCATCCACGGTACTAGCGTTGGACATAAGCTTAGTTATCTTCCATAGCATTTGAGGAGCATACGTCAGGTGATGATATCTTGACCCCTCGGATATTCGACAGGATGATGTCCTCGTTATCGCACATCGATTCTATATACTTTAGCTCAGCTCCGCGGCCAGGTAGCGCGAAGAGCAGGTGCGAACCAAGGAAGATTATGTGGACCCCCTTCATCTCTGCCTTCTCCGCCAGCTCCTGTCGCTTGGCCTTCGTACCGTTGTTTGCGTCGTAGATGACGACTTGACCACCTCCGTCAAAAAAGCCCCACACGAGCTGTTCGCATCCGCTGATGATACCGTCCCGGAGGGCGATAGTCTCTGGACTCTTCTCGCCTGATACATGCCTCAGAGCGATTTCAAAGATAGGCAAAGCTATTGACCTAGCGTGAAGTAGTCTGAGGGAAGAGTCTGTGCACTCCCCAGCACTTTCCTGCGATAGTCTCCGAGCGAGATGACCTGAACTTTCACTCCCGTCCATCGCAGATATCGCTCGAGAGCTCGTGATATGTGAGTCTTGCCGCGCGCCGGTAGACCAACGGTGCAGACGAGGATTTTACCAGCATGGAAGAGAAGACCGGACGCTGTCGTGTATAATGGGGCAACCATGATATTCTGAAGGCGACGTCCTCACCGCGCGGGTCGTCGACAAGGATAAGGTGTAGAGAGCCAAACCTGTCGTCGGCTCCAGCATTCACACTGTAATCTTATCTTATCGTTTAGGGCGTTAGGGCACGTGATTTACACGTGATCTTACAACATTCTCGTCCAGAGTTCGACTGTTCTCCGACCACAACGACGACGGCGACGACCTTGACGGCAGCCAGCAGATTCCATCGCCAACATTTACTACACTCACATACTAATACCTACGCTATGTCTTCTGTAATTGACAGCCCCCCTCGTGCTCTTCCGGTCAAGTACAAGACGCCCCTCGGTACGCGTTGGGAAAAAGAGAAAGCCGCTGCTGGTCAGGGCGCGTTCGACTACCCCGACGACGCCAAGTTTGTCGGACCCTGGATTATTGGCGAGTGTGTCGGCAAAGGCGCGTCCGGCCATGTCAAGATCGCTCGGCATCGCCGCACTGGCCAGCTTGCCGCGATCAAGATCCTCCCCCTCCAACCGTTCGTCACCAGTCGCAACGCGCAGGCGCAAGCCAAGTCGGAGAAACAGCGCATGGGTGTTGACCGCGAGATCACGATGATGAAGCTCATGAACCACCCGAACATCATGCGCATCTATGACGTCTATGAGGGTGACAAGGAGCTCTACCTCATCCTCGAATACGTCGAGGGCGGCGAACTTTTCGACTTCTTGGTCAACCGCGGCAAGCTAGCTCCCCTTGAGGCGCTCGGATATTTTAAACAAATTGTCTACGGTCTGAACTACGCGCATACGTTCTCTATCATCCACCGCGACTTGAAGCCTGAGAACATCTTGATTCACTCCATGGACCCTCCACTTATCAAGATTGCCGACTGGGGCATGGCTGCTTTCGCCCCTCCGTCTCTGCAACTCGAAACTAGCTGCGGCAGCCCTCACTACGCCAGCCCAGAGATTGTCAACGGACACCGCTACACTGGCACTGCGACCGACATCTGGAGTTGTGGCGTCATTCTATATGCTCTTCTGACAGGCCGACTTCCTTTCGACGACAAGAACGTTCGCACACTTCTGGGCAAGGTCAAGCTCGGGAAGTACGAGATGCCAACCCACATCGACCCGCTTGCCAAGGACTTGCTCTCGCGTATGCTGGTCGTCGACTGCAAGAAGCGAGCCACGGTGAGCATACCTGGTCCTCTGAGGTACTCTATAGCTGATGTCCCTCTTAGATGGCAGAAGTCCTGGAGCACCCCTGGCTTCAAGGCGTTACTCCAGGGATCACCTACGTACCTGCCCCACCCGTCTCTGAGCTGGCCAAACCTCTGCCTTCTGCTCGACATATCGATCGTGACTTGTTTCATTCTTTATGCGTTATCTGGGGTCGCCATGCGGATCAGGAACAGATCAAGGCCGACCTGCTCAGCCCTGCCGGCGAAGGTATTTTGGCTAAGGCGTTCTATTTCTTGCTTCAGAAGCATCGCGAACGAACTATGGAGGAACACGGCATCCTGATGGACGACATCCTGAAGTCACCTGGGAAAGTCGTCATAAAGCAGTACTCGGCTCCCAAATATCGCAGGGGCGAGTCGGAGATGACTGTGCCAACGATGTCCATGTTCCCTACGGCCTCTACGATCTCAGAACCTGGTTCGTCTGCCTGTCGCTCGCCTCCTCCGATCCGTCCGATTCAGATTCCTGGCCTACCCCATATGGAGAAGACCTCCCGAGACCATCCTCCGTCACCGGTCGGTCCTCGCCCTCAGCGTCCTCGACCTACGTCCTCCCCTGTTGGTGACAGTCGTGATATTGTCGCGTCTCCTGGTCCCCGCGCCTACGCTTCGGATGCTCGCTCACGCATGCACTCTGCTGGTTCTCCAACGCCTATACGAAAGGTTCAACTCTCTGAGATGCTTGCCAGTCTACCACAACATTCTCAGCCGCTTCAGACTCGCTATCCTGGTTATGCTGGAACTTCTCGTCCGCCTTCGGTTCTTCCGCCTGTCACTTCTGGTCAATCTGCCCGGGGCTCTTCGTCTGCGGCTCCTGGCTTTGTGCACGCCCCTGCTCCTGTCCCCGCTTTGGAACCGAAGATTCTGCCTATGATCACTGCGCCGAAGGTTGCCAATGCTGAGCTTCAGAAGGCAATTGATCAATATGCGAACATTGTCAACGAGCACGTGCAAACCTGGAACACCGCACACTCTCAGCGCGTTTCTGGGCAATCGGTGGCAACCTCTGCTGATACTGATGTCCAACCCTGGGACGGACACGTCCGAGTTCGCAGTTCTCGTCCAAGCGATGGAGCGCAGAAGGACTTATTCGCCCGGTTCGAGGAGCTCAAGGAGAACAAGGAGAACATTGAAGAGGTTAACGTGACGCAGAAAGTCCCCCAAGGCACTGTTCCTAGGAATCAAAGCGGTCTCGGGTTTGACTCTTCAGTTCCCATGCCAAGTGTTCCTCTTGGGAAAGAAATGGCGAACCTTCTCGTGCTCGGTGGAGCAGAGAAGAAGGAGAAGAAACATCGCTGTAAGTCGTTTTACCTCCTTATTAACCCTATAACTGATGTCTGTAAGTAGCTTCTGGTGTCGATATTGGCTCACCTAGCCTCCAGAAGCGCGGGACGTTCTCCTCCATGCTTGGCTCTCCGACCCCTATGTCACCCCCGCCGTCGACAGTCCTTGGCTCTCCTGCCGTTGGCGAATTCAAGGGCTGGTTCTCGAACCTGTTCCACTGGAAGGTACAGTCTTACCTGCTGTACTCGTCTGACGACGTCGCGACAAGCCGGAACGAGGTCCGGCAGCTGCTCCAAGGGCTTGGCATCTCGGTGCTCGAAGACTACCAGTGGGGTATCTTCAAGTGCCGCGCGGAGGACGTCTACGAGCATGAGACCCTCGTGCAGAAGGCGACGCGCTTCCGAGTCGAGGTGCACAACACGGCGGGGTATGCGCATGGCGTAGTCGCAACGCCGCGGCTCTCGCATAACGCGATGTCGCCGCAGATGTCGGCGGCGCGCAGCCGTCCGTTCCTCGAGCGGCCGCACGGGTGTGACACGGTCATCGCGCTCGTGCTCGAGAAGGGCTCGGTCACGACTTTCAAGGCTGTGTATCAGCGTGTCAAGGCGGACTGGCGGCTCGATGCACTGCAAAGCCCGAGGGCGTCGATCGTTGGGGGCAGTGGAACGCCAAGCATCGATCAGCGGCTTATGGCGTGAGGGGTTTGGATTGCGTCTCGGGGCAATTGGTATCACATAATACTGGCTTAATACCATAGAACACTTCTGTGCGACCATTACTACGTGTCATTCGTTTCAGTATAGACTAGAAAAGGTCCTGCCGTGATGTGTTTTCGTGTGGTGCTCGGACTCGTTGCCAGCAAATGGACCAGTACAGTATGTATATGTCATTCCTTGGCCTCCGGTGTAACACAAAAGCACACACAAGATTCGTGACTATCGTCATCAAGCGCCTCGACACCGGGGCTCCGCACACCAATTAATCGCTGCGTTCGCACCAACGTACTTATTATTACATCCATGGACGGCAGCCCAGCGTGCCCACATGATATACCACCTTAGTATGCGCTGATAGCTGAACACACCGTGTCTGCGTTGCCACCCTCGGGAACCTCGCCGTCCCGGCCACTCCCGCCTTGCACCCGACCTGAGGGCAAGTTGGTGAGTGACAGCGCACCGTCGAGGGATAGCACAGGAGGCGAAAGAGGAGTCGGAGAGATGACAATGGAAAGGCCCTGGACGAGAATTTGGTTATTTTGGGTGACGTTATCGTTGTTCCTCGCAATGAGCCAGACCATCACGAACCTCTATAGTGGAAGCATCTCGTGTGTCTCTGTGACAAATGCGGCGAGGATAGACCATGGAGGAGAATAGACCGGCCTTGGGAGATTGTGGATGGTCTTGATTCGAATCAGACAGATTATGCAAGCACATGATACGTATCGCAGCACACATTTATACCCAGATCAAGCTGTATCGAGTCAAACAAAAAAAAGAAAGGAAAAATGCCCAAGGATGCGAATTCACATCAATAATGTCCCGTGCCATGAAAATTTGATAATCCCGTGGTACAACTGCTGGATGGTTGATTAGACATCCAGCTCTTCTTCAGTGCGCGGCACAGGCTGCTCTTTGCTGACATGCACGTCGTCCCCCCTGTCATCTTGATCGTGGTCCAGTGGTTCGCCAATGTTCCCCATGAAACTCGGTGTTGCATCATTGTTGAATGTCGGCATGTGCAACGAAACTAGCTGCTGAGACGTCTTGACTTCAGAAGTAGCGGATCTGCCGAGGCTGAGTTGGCGTAGATTCATCATGAGGCGGCAAATCAGAATTTGTGGCTGAGTGGTGCAGAGATGTCAGACGGTCGGGAAGCCTTGCCTGTGGGCTCACCATTACACCTGTGAACGAGGAGATGCTGCTTATAGAATTCTGTAGATAGTCAGCATATTGGGTGGTGCTAAGAAGCGGGTCACTTACGAAGTAGATAGACATGAGCTGAGAGAAATTCAGGGCCAGAAGGATGCTGGTGGTGGCTGTCAGTAGAGGAACAATGAAGGCAATTGGTATCGAGACTTGCGAGAAGTATATTGTGCCTAACGGAACCAACCAGATGTCAAGTTTCTCACCGCTAAAACAAAGGAAGAGTCTTACCATCCTTTATAAGACATGTAGTGAGCGGAGACTTGATGCTCAATGCCCTTGCTTCTCTGTACTGCCGATAGGTCTTCTTCCATGTCAAAATCAGGACAAACAAATCCGCAACAATCATTGGAACGCGGGTGACGAGGAGCACTGTAAAAAAAAATCAATGGTAGTTACACCCACAAATTAGTGAGACCATACAGCTAGTAACAAGTTCAAGTTGAGTATGTTTGCTTAGTAATATAGTAACAGCTGCGAGGCAATAGACTTACGCAACATTTGTTTCATCGGAGTAGTCAAGGATCTCCACACATGCATCAATCGGCGAAGGAAAATATAGGAAGGAGCTATGGACTAAGGCATACTTGCATAGACATCGGTGTCAAGTGTGACATTTCAAGACTCTGCCTGTGGGGGCCGGAAGAATGTTGCACTTACAGTATTGGTGATCACAGGTGGAAGACTCAGGGTAAGCACGATCACGAACAAGACAAAATTCCGATCCCAGATTGCACATACGCGCAGTGCAGAGAAGACTAGCGGCAATTAGGTTGCGCACAAGATTTGTCTGATGCGCTGCTCTCACCGGCGGTCTGTGCGAACCCCACGAGCGTGGGAATTATCGCTATCCAATTGATGGCTTCGCAGCTGCATTTCACATCGTCCTCAGTACTGTCCAAGTCGGATCATGCGAGACATACCTCTGTAACATGTCTATGTTAGATGCGGCTGCACGGAACAACAACGGCTTACCACTGTTTCTGCCGGGATGAAGGTAAATACCGCCTGCAAAAGCAGTGCCCATCGAGTGGACACAATGAGAAGGGAGACAATCGAGAGCTTCTGTTGCCACACGGTGCGGACTTCTTGGTCGAGCGTAATCAAGTGATCGTAAAATACTAAGCCTGCAGTCTCCGGTCTCAATACTCAGAACCTCTTCACAGAGCCGTACTCACCTGCAACGGCAAAGGTCATATCGTTGGAAATGATACTAAACACACCACATCAGTGGTCGCACACAGTTCAGAGCGAGACACATACGTTTGTGATAACATGGGTACCAAATCAGAGGACATTATGCTAGAGGCTTTGAATGCAGGTGCGACAGTTTGCAAAGAGACTCGATGTCGTATATCCGATACCCATTATGGAGGTATATATACACCTATAGCATCGTGCTTATTGGTAATAGCTGAGGATGCTGTGTGGTGTTGAACAGCGCGCGATATTGCAAGGAGCGATTGCGCGGCACATTCAAAGTTCTCGACCATGAAAGCGCAATTCGGCTGCTAAAAGGAGGAAGGATACCCCGTATGATCCAGCGTGCGGTGGTGCAGCCGGTAGGCCAAAATCAGTGGCCTCGAAAACCATCAGATAGAGACAGCAGAGTTCGACAGGGCTTGTCTGCACAGTATGAGAGAACCATTCCAATTGGCTAGCAAGGAACATGATAGCTCACCTGAAACATCATGTCATACCCTAAAGAAAGATACAATGATGAGATGTGGGACACAAGATGTATTTTGGCAGTGGTATTGATGATCATCGACGTGTGCAGACTTATTGGGACATCAACAGATCTGCGAACGCAAACTGAAGAATGTCTTCTGTTCAGCGTAATACCTTGTCTCCCATTCGGCTCAGCAAGTAGCGAATCCGTCGGTCGGCTGATAAATTAAAGTCGTCTCCGAGCGGACCGCACGCAAGACGGTCAGAATTGCACGGCAATTACACGATTGCTTGCCTTCAAACAGTCGATGACTGCGCGATCTGTCAAGCTTGAAAGTCTCCCGCTCGCAGTAGGTCCGAGCACCGCACGCAGAATATCACGACAAGGCCACATCTAGTCGATATCGAAATGAATGTACGTAGTGACCCTGGTCACACAGAAGTGAATCGTTTCGTTGGGCCTGTAGATTGCGTACCAGACGCTCCGAGGTACAGTGCAGATACCTCGTGCCATAAGCTGGGAATTGATGCTTGGGCGTCCTATTCCCACCAGTAACCGATGACCCCAGGCTCTACAGCGTATCGAGCCTTCGGTTCGTCTGGACGCGCTGATACACGGCCTTGGACGTCGGACCTAGCCCATATCGAACACGAGTGTAGTCACCGCGTCACACCTGTGCAACCGGTCGATCCGCGCGCAGCCCACATCTGCGGCGGCATTGGATGGTGCGCGAGCCGGAACACTATGGAGGAGAGATTCGGTGAAGGGTCAACAGTAGATGTCTGTAAGGGAGAGGGAAGGAGTCAATATATGTAAGGGGAAGGTACATGGGGGAATGCAGTGCCAGCTTGCACGAGCTACAAAATCTGGTCATAGAGCGGCAAGTGCCGGTTCCTATAAAACTAGTAATAGTACTCAGCAACCTGACTCACTCAAATACTTACTTCTTGTGCCCGCACTTGCCGTGAAAGTCGCCTCTATATCGCACGCAAAACGCCGCTCCGCTGCCGTACTCTCGGCTGAAGAGTCCATTAGTATGTGATGCATGAAAAACGAAGATGGTAATCGTCGGCGACGCTAGGAAGACAAGGTCTAGAACACTTACGGGAGGGGGAAGTGTCCTGGGATAGCGACGCCGCCAGCTGGTTTCAGAACAGACCCACCGGTCTGGCGCACTTATTGAGCGACGGGTCCTTATTTGCGTGAACGACTCAGATCGCAGGACACCCTGTCGCTTATGAAGCTATGAAGCGCCGCCTCCTTCTTGCTTTCCGAGTCAGACCCCCATTCGCCGCCCGCGTACATGTGAAGAGGGTCGTGCCGAATGAGATGAGAGAGATGGGAAGGGCTGTCCTGCATTCGATGCAAATGAGAGAGCAGAAGAATTCACGAGAAGCGCATCGAGCGTTCAATGATTCGAGCTCCGCACCGACTGCCGGCTGAGCCTCGTGGAGGCGTCGGTGACGCGAACGCTCGTCGTTATTGAAGCGCTCAGCCTGAGGCTCTCGATATGTACCTCGGCGGCGGGACCGTGCTCAATATTGTCTATGAACGGGTGCGCCTGGCCCTCCCTTCTCTGTTCTTCATCACGTCTCCCTAGCAAAACCACTGTTGGAGATCCTCACACGCCTCAAAGCCTGTAGGCGCGTCAGCATGCTCTTCAGGAGTGAATTGCCGCTGCATGTGGTGAGCTGGTTGTACACGATTTTCGTACTGTGCCAAAAGCTGATGGTTGTTGTACAGACGTTATTTTGGCCCATCTGTAGCATCTCCTGTATACGCTCGTCATATTGCTGTGATATACATACACATATGCCCTGTATAATAGCATTCAATTCATGAACAAGTCGCGCGAGCGCGAAGAGTTAAAGCCGGTCGAATTTCGATGGTTACATTGGCAAAACTGCGTGCTCCCGTTTTGCTCCGAGCTAAATGTCAGCCACGGCACTCATACCCGAGACGGCTTCATGCAGCATGGACCGATATGATGATCTATATTCCACGCATACAGTCGTTGGTACATTAACTGCTAAACGCGGAGGACCCGCCGCACGGTGGCTAGGGAAGCTGAGGTCTCCCCAGCCAGTCCACCAGTGGCCCAGCATGCGCGGAAGTGAGCGCTTTTCCCGATGGCATGCATGGACTTAGGCTGCGATCTTGAGCTTGGGGTTTTGGGCGATGCGCGCGGGCGTGACGGGCTCAGTGAGTGCCGCGGCATAGGGGCAGTTTTCCTGGAGCAGGATGAGCACATTCGCAGAACTCATGCTGTGCTCTTCCCTCACCGCATCCAGATTCGCGACTGGCAGTGAATCCGAGGAGTCGAACTGGGAGTAGGCCGTGAGCACGAGTCACAGCAGGCCCATTGGTTACACCATTCAAGTCTATTGGACTCCACGAAGTTTCCCGAGCCTTTCTCATTTTGGCAGCTGAAGTCTACTTTTCATAAGCAGGAACTCTGAAGGCGGCTGGCGAAAAGTCAGCCTAGCAGCAAGCGAGAACAAATTCGCGCGAACGAGACTGAATCACGTCTTATCACGAGAAAGCAAGAAATGAGCACTAAGTATTGGCATCTCAATTTTCCCAACGAGAAGGTTCTTGAGCACCTCGCGGCCCGAAATGCGTGCTGTGTCATAGAACGACACATAGTCAAGCGTCGAGAACAGAATGTCCGCGAGGCCGAACGGCAGCATCGGAGGGATCCATCCTGCGTCAAAGCATAAGCGGAGGCGAACACGTAGAGTCACGT